GGTGAATTCCTTTTCAAGCCTTTACAATCACATGTACATGAGACAATTTCAATACGGTCGTTCGACCTACGTAAGTCGCACCATAGGTGTACTTGAACTGGTAGACAATCATAGATGATGTCAACATAGGCAGTTTATTTTTGTTGTAGCATCGGATGTTTGGTGACGTAGAGAACACACATCTTATCTGTGCGGCATTGAATGTTGAATTCTTCCACTATCCCCGACTGTTGGAGGCCGGTCACAATCATACCAATCCCCAAAGCATTCAAATCTTCTATCCTCTCCAAACGTTTTCGATCCATATCGTCAACATCTTCAGCTCTTAAATTGACTGAAAATGCCATCCTCAAACGCCTTCAGCAGTCCAAGAACATTCCCAATGATCCGTAATAGTTTGCTTAAAAGTCTATATCCACCTTAGACGCAGTCTCTACTCCAATTCATTCTATCACTAAATCGTTGAACAGCTCTGTTAAGTCTGTCCGGTGTGTTTTTCTCGACTACTCTTCTGCATTTGATTCCATTCCTCGATCTAAGTTGTTACAAAAACTGGAATCGTTTGACTGTCCCAAGCAGTTGTTAGCTTGGCTATCCAACAATTTTACTGATAGAGTACAAACCATTTGATTGGGTAAGGCCACATGGAAACTCTTAATCAACAACTCCGGGGTTCTACTAGGAGCTGTGCTATCCCTATACTTATTTTCCACTTATATTTTTGATATTCCCTGTGTTTCTCCCGCACGGATTTTGAAATATGCAGATGACGTCGTGTCGTGCCAGTCCATTTCTGCCTACTCTGATCTAAGTTCTTTTACCGATAATCTTGATCAAATTCAGTCATTCTCCACCTCATCNATTCTCCTCCTCATCGGGGCTAACCCTGAACCCCAGTAAATGTGTTGAGTGTTTATATAGTTTTTCTCGCTCCCCGTGTCGGACAGACCCCACAGTGATCAATAAAAATCCTTTATCTAGGGTGAACTCTGTCAAATATCTTGGTGTAATCATAGATAGCAATCTTCATTGGTCAACCAACATCCACAACTGCATTGGTAAATTGCGACGCCTTTCATTTCTAATTCGAAAGCTCAGGCAGTTTTGCGCATCCCAGTCATTTATTTCTATTTTTGTTTATCAATGCGTTCCCCTCATCTTACTTTACTGTTCCTCAGTTAATTTTCCTGGTTTACTCAAACAAGATTTTAAGGTCTTACACCGCGGTCTAACCATTATTACTTGTGTCTCTTCTATTCATGTAAAAGAGTTAGCTTTAGTTCTTTCAGAGTGTCACGTAACTTCCTGTGTGAAATTTCCTGAGAGGATTGTCACAGATCCTGACCACCCATTGCACGCAGAACTGACACTTAGTCGTTCCCATTATCCAACACTCTCCCAATTCCGCCAAATTTCATATCGAATTAACGCGTACCGCAATTCATCTGTACGGTATCTAGCTCGTGTACTCGTAAACAAAGAGCGGACAATAAGTAAACTTTGTCTTCACTTTGGATTATGAACTATCCTCATCTCTGTGACATTTTTTCATGGTTTGCTATGTACATTGTGACGGTTAGCGTGTATGATTTTTCAACTGAAATATGAGCTTCAAGACTTGTAAAAGTTACACACAATACAATACAATATTTGACGGAGCATATTCTGGAAATTTGTTCACCACTGATAATGACATGATGACAAGAGTTCATCACGTCAATATATTGATCACCCTTCAGTTCAGAAAATAAAACATCATAACACTTGGAAGGATCCATTCTAAGATTGTGTTGTGAAGACCAGTCTGTGAGCAGTGAAATGTTTTGCATAAGTTTGGGGTACACGGAGGAATGCGAAAACTTCATGCTATGCACAACACTTAAGGAGCAAATAATCATCGAAGCAGCCATTGAAGGAATATAAGTTGTGAACAAGAAGGGAGAGAGAATAGCTCTTTGAAGAACTTCTTTGGTAAAGGGTAGAAGTGAACTGTTACGACCCTTATATTTAGTAAACTATAATCGATGGGTGAAAAAAATACCTAGTCGATTGGTAAGCTCCGGCTGAGTGCCTGTCTCAGAAAGAGTGTGACGAAGTTCGGACCTACTAACACAATTAAAGGCATCAATATAATTTAAAAAAAACATACACGAACAGCTTTACATTTCCTGACTGATGTAATTAGAAATCTGAATGGTCGTCTTCTGTTCGTAAATTCGCTGGCTATGTAAAAGCACCGTGATTACGCAATGTGCATGTGTACAAATATGTCACCAAATGTATTTTTGTGACTTCCTCGGTTAAATTTGTGGCTAGAAAAAGCTGTTTTTGATCACAAGATTTCAATGCGATTTCTCTGCGGACGCGAAAATATCCCTTATTTTTGCTTTCCCTTTTTCGCGAAGAATGCTAACTGCCAGAGAGGCGGTTCTAGGTACCAGTGTCAATGAATAACTGGATAATTGTTACAAAATGTATTTCACCGGTACATGTTGGCTCTTGGCAACGAGAGATGGGTTATACTTGATAAGTGTAACACGCATGCAGCAAGTCTAGCAGATAAAGGATCTAGGGGTCCAAGACTGCTAATTAAGCTGAGGGGGGTACAGTTGTTCAGGCTGTGCCACAGTTACATGCACTGACCGCCTGAGGCTTTCGTCCCACTGTATAGATTGATTGTCCACCCAAACATGGAGTATTGTGTGCAGACATGGGCACCGTATTACAGGAGGGATGTAGCGTGCTTAGAGCGAGTGCAATGCCTAACTACCCGAACGGTGACTGGCCAAAAGGGGGAAAGCTATGAGCAGCGATTCAGAGACCTTAATCCCTTTTCGCTGGAACGTAGACGAGTGAGGGGAGATCTGATAGAGACTTTTAAAATTGTAAGACGTCTATCGGGACTCAACCTAGATGACTTGTTTACGATTTCTCGTGCTCAAAACACGAGAGGTGATGGCTTTAAACTTCAACAAAATCACCCCAGGTTGGATGTACTGGTCAGCGTGTTCTCACACAGGGTCATACCTATGTGGAACAGGTTACCCGCACAAGTGGTCAGCTGCGCTAATCCTAACGCCTTCAAGGAGGCCCTGGATGCATGTTGGTCAGCAACCTTCCCTGAAGTTAGTATCTAGTATTTCGAATGAGAACGCCAAGACTAAAATCCAACGTAGTCCGCAATGTCTGAAATGGACTCAAATCGGGTTTGGTTGTTGGATTTGTTCTCAATCTGACTGTCCTGGCACATGTGTTCTGTGCTTAGAAACGCCCGTGGACATTGAGATCTCTAAGCAATGAGGGAAGACAGAGAGAAAAACTTGCTTGTTTTTCTCCCTTTCAGCATACCCACTCAAGGAGACAGTGTTCCGGAAACGGGGCTAAATTGAGAGGATCACAAGTACAATATATCATTTGAACGCAGTGTTGGAAGCTACTCCCATCAGCCGACCAAACAACGAAATGGACGCTCGACTGTCAACAGCCATGTTCGTTCTGTGTAAACAGAACTGAATTTAACTGAACAGAACGGAACTGAATATATAGTTCTACGTTGATAATGATAAGCACAGTCCCCGTCGGTTGGTTAGATGAGGTCATGCGATTTGCTTGTGTATCCTGGTTCTCATTTATTTTACCATCTGCGATCGGCCTTATGCCAGAATGAGTGTTGGTTATCATTAAATCACGTGAATTTGAGCATTTCTTAGCGATTGGTTTTCCTTGGGTTGGTTGTAACAGCCTATAGGATTGGAGTTAGAAAATAGGAACACTGTAAGGGACTCTTCTGCAACACCGGTGGGATGAAGTGATTCGAACGCCGAACTCAGTCATGAACGAACTAGAACCATGTTACCAAATTACTGATTTCAGTTTGCACAACTACGAACTGTGCACTACCGTTCACCAACAATGTGATGCTCATTTGCTAGACCGACGAGGGCCCAGAGAAAGCTCATATATGAACAGCACTATTTAGATGTAGGTAGCAAGTAACCTGGATTTTTGCAGCAGGTTGGCAGGTAAATTACCATTACTAGTTAAGCAATTCGGCGATATCACTAAGTGTGTCAGGAGTGCACAGAACCCGTCAGGCCTTCGCATCGAACCGCGCCACACCTGTAAGCGCGTTCGTGACGCCCAAATCGATTCCGGATTGGATGATTGAAGCCAAAAAGGTAGCTTTTGTCGGATCGATCTTCTGGAGTAATAAAGACGCGATCTGATTGGTGCATCACCACGTCGTCTCTCGTATAGCCAATTTGCCACATAAATTTGCGTATTGTGTCACAATCAATAATACACTCTGACTGTCGTTTTCTCAGCCGTTGTTGGGAGCTAGTCAAGAGGCGCACGTATCAATCATACGTCTTCGCAAGACATAAAACAGTGTTTCTAATCATTATTTCATTTAACCACGAGATCTCCAACCTTGAAGTTCAATGCAACCTACATCGGAGAGGTATCTGTAATGATTGTAACAGTAGTGGTAGTACACACGGAATTCGAAACGCCAACCACGCAATACGAATCACAGGACCCGAATCAATAGTCAGCTATCATGGAGTAAATCACAGAAGCACTGGACCGCAATGACACGGGTTCACAATGTCCCACGAGAACGAGACGCGGGGAAAAACCACAGGAATGGTAGTAACTAACCGTTCGTTTATTGGAAGAAATGAAGGTGATTAAATAATATGTGCAAAGAGAGATTATTGGCTATCTGGGCTTCCACCAGTGGGATTGCAGTACTGCTTGCATAATTCTGCTTCTATCTGCACTGTCTTGGATTGGCTGGCACCATCCGCCAATGACGTGTATTCAGAAGCCATACACGTGTTATTGACGTCAGCATTCAAACTTGATTGATCACAAATGTCCTGAAACTGTGACGCATCGCTCCAGGGTAGGCGTCATCATGTAGACTTGGATCACCACAGTATCTCGCGAATGTTTTTCTTCTCCTCAAGCTTTATCAAGATTACCTCATCTTTGATCACCTTTCAACTATAATCTGTGCCCAGAAACCTGGTCTGTATATATAAAAACCACTTACAATCTGACATAACCTCAAGAAAGGTCAAAGCCATCAAACCGTAAGTTCGGTACATTTGAATACTTTCAGTTTGATTTCGAAAGATAATCTTATCTATAATGATTCACTCCACGAGCAACCCATGTTATGTAAAGGTTAGCAATGACAGTAATAATGTAACTAAGAATGTTCTAATCAAAGTTAAGGGTTTCAAA